TAAGGTGTCAGGGAGCGTTTTGACCCAAAATTTGGAATGTATTTAAGCTATGTTAAAAGTGAAATCCAAAGTAGAAAAAAGTAAAAGTCTTACTTTTTTTTTTACTTGATTCCGTAATTCACCAAATTAGGTAACTCATCCTTGATTTAGTACTTAAACTTAGTGATAAAACACGGATGATCTACTGGTACTTCGTAGTCTCTTTGGTAGCATTATAGTGTCTTAAAATTTTTTAAACTTATAAAGTAGTTACACATTTGATAGAGATTATAACCGTTTTCTTCCTGATTTCATTTCTTCAAAATTATTGAAACTGCGCCGAGGTGGAAAGCACCACTTGGGAAATTCACGATAACACTCTCTATATTTGTGGAATACATTAAGGGAGTTCACACCTTAAAATAGCAGGATTATGCTATATATAGATATGACCTAGCCGGCGAGACAATTCTGAGATTTAAAAAAAAGCAACATGAATCTTAAAATTCAAACACTATCCATACGTTAGTTATAATTCATTCCCTGCCAATGGCACAGCTGCCTAGATTGTCAAAGTTTAACTCGGTTATTAGACAGCACAATAAAAGTCAAGACAGTATAATAATCCATACCCATTTTTTGAGTTCTTGTTTTCACACTAAAGTTCAAATGGGGTTGCCACCTTAAGATAGCAAATTTGTTATTTATTATGACGTAAAATCCTCCTCACTCAGCTGTCTGATGTTAAAGGATTATCCCGGTTTCAAACTTGATGGAAGATTGTAGTTTTAGAATATATGAAGTTATTATTATAACACAATATAAAGGGTAAAGTATATGCTTAGCGCTGTCTGGTGTTTGGATTCTATTCTCCCAGCCATCCAAAATTAATAGCCAAAATTAATCGCTCCATTAAAAGCAACATTCCCCTATATCTGCTTCTACACTACGTACCTTATTATTTTATAATTAGAATATGGAATTATGACTGTAATTTAAACATGGAATACCATCTAATTATTACAAAAAGTACTGAATTTTATTTTATTTTAAAACCGTCGTTGAACAGCAGACCCAATTTAAGGTTTACGACTACTAATATTTAACGCCGTAGCCTTTTAAATTTGAACCCAATCCAGAAGACAAAAGAACTCCTGCATCAAGTATTGGGAGAGAAATTTGTCTTCGTGGTGGACTTTTTGATGAAATAAAATCGCAGTTGCGTTACATGGAGAAGAAAACCACTGAAAACTCTCACGTTTATCCGAACGGCAAGAGAACTAACCCATGATTCGTCTATCACTGAGGATATTTTACGTCAGCACTGTGATCGGTGCGAGCATGGTGCAGAATTCGTATCAACCAGTTGTCGCTGGGATTCGAAACCGGTTCACCGCATTGTGGGCAATCACGGCTCAATTGAAAAATCAATTAAAATATTTAAGTTTTTTATCAGTACTATTCCTGATCAGAAGATTCATTTAAAAAGAAAAGTGAAAGAAGTTCCCAGAGAGTATCAAACGCCAAACGTGTGAGCGGCAGTTAAATACAATACTACTTACAGTCTACGTCACTCCCCAGAGTAAAAATTAACTGGAATATATCAGTAAATTATGCTTCAATTTTTAAAAGCTATTTTCTCGATATCGGCTGTTAAACTGTATGTCTTTTGTGATAAACAAAACCCTAAAGTTATTTTACAAGTACCCCGAAGTAAATTTTCCCCCAGTCATGTCCTCTCCTTCTAGGAATCATATCTGTAGAATCTCAGAATCTTATGACTCTTCAATTCTTATGACTCTATTTTCATTCTAATGACTCTTCAATTCATATGACTCTATTTTCATTCTAATGACTCTTCAATTCTTATGACTCTATTTTCATTCTAATGACTTCAATTCTTATGACTCTTCATTCTACAGATATGACTCTTCCAAGAATCATATCTGTAGAGTGGAGAATAGGTGTAGAATGAGGGTTTGATACTTTTTACGAAACTTATGTCACACGCATGTAGGCTATAATATAAAACACACTTAAAGTGCCGACTGTTCCACTTTTATAAAGTAATGTAAAATGCACCGAAAGTCAACTCCAGTTAGTTGATAAACCAGTTAATAGTTTAATTAACTCCTATATTTTCATTAATATACTTTTCTATTTTAAACAATTACTGTTTCAGCTAACTACAGAAACATAAGGCGTAGCGAAGTTCGGAAAAATATTCACGAAAACAAAAAATAAAATAGAACTCTACTTAATTTACATGTGTAATTTTTCAGAAAGTTAAAAAAAATCCTATTAAATATATCGTAAAATATGCATTGAAATATTTTATATTCCTGTAACTATATCACATTATTGAGGGTTTATACGTTTCTTTTATGGAAGAAAAAATTCTTTGAGCTAAACAAAGAAAAACCTAGACACATTAAAAATTTAAATTCAATCAAATCTTGGCGTTTCGCTAGAATACAGTAATCCTCTTAACGGAATAAAGAAATTTCCTCTATTTTTTCCCCTTTTCTTTCTTTCTCTTTAATCTTTTTCGGAGAAAAGATTTTTTTCTTTAAAAAAAACAAATAACCAATGTAATTAATTTTGTTAGGAAAGTATCAAACGAATAATAAACTAATAAATTATATTAAACAGAACAAGATTATATTAATACCAAATACTAATTAAAATATTCTTTAGCATATCAAATTACATTATTTATAAGGAAATAAATTAATCTCTCTAGGCAGTATAGTTTGCTGCTTTGCTATGCTATGGGAGTTTTAGCATGTATTTATAAATTATTATAGTATCTCTTTTTGAAATTATGCTGAGTATTTTTTATAAAGCAGACAAGCACAAAAAAATAAAATAATCAAAAACTACATATTTTTATTTAAATAGTTCTTATAAATAATTTCTTAAATGAATTACATGCTAATCAATCTCAACTCAATTTTTTATTCAGCCAGTTTTTAGAAAGCAAACTTTACCATCAAATATCACTAATATGTCATGTGATGACAGAGCTCTTGAATAGCAGCCTTATAGTCGTTAGCATAAATATCACCAATATGTCATGTGATGACTAAACCCTTGAAAAATAACCTTAAAGTCGATCACATATATCACTAATATATAATAAATATCTCAGATATGTCATGTGATGACAGATCTCTTGAAAAACAGCCTTAAAATCGATTACTTAAATATCACTAATATACCGTGTGACAACAGAGACCTTAAATAACAGCTTTAAAGTCGATCGCAATAAAATCGATTAAAATATCGCTATTGTTTCAATTAATATATTTGCGTTACACATGTACAGTGCGTTAAAGAAAATGGACCTCATTAAATAACTTTCGGTCTAATGATCGGATCTTCACGTACTAGGACTCGATCTTAATTGTTTGAAGAGGTGAATTCAAATATGCTAATTATTTAGTGCAGACGATATTTTAAATTAAAAAATGAGACTCAAAAACGTACTTTATCTGAATAAACATACATTTTTTTCGAAGGATTCAGATTTCTGACCCCCAAAATATGGGGGGTAGCCGCAACCTGGGAAATATGGTCCTAATAGTTTGGTCAGGAGAGCTGTCTAAAATTTTGACCTCTTAATGTTAATTTTACTTTTTGTGTATCTCGCCATATCTCGAGAACTTTTTAAGCGAATTGAAAAAATTTTGCACGGAATTTAAAATTTCGTTTATCTAAAGGTGATTTCATGCAAAACACAGCATTTAGTAAATATTTATTATTTAATTTTATAATAGTCGGGAAAAATTCTGAGTTGTAAGGTATACAATTTTTTATATATTTTTGAAGAAGGCAATTTTACATGGTAGATTTACATTTGAGCGTAAGTGGTCGAACAGTTCATGGAGAATCGAATTTCAAAAAAGTTGTATTTTTAAAATTCGATTTCTTAGGTACTATTCGATCGATTATGCTCAAGTTTTGTATTTCGGCATACAAATTTGCATTCTTAAAAATGATGCAAAATTGTATACCTCATCATTCAAATTTTTTCCCACTATTATTAAATTAAATAATAAAAAATTATTAAAATTTACTAACACTTATTTTTTTTAACAAATTATCTTTGGAAAACTGAATTTTACAATCTTGTGCAATTTTTTTTAAATTTGCATAAAACGTTCTCGCGATATGGCGAAATGCGCAAAAAGTAAAACTAACATTAAGTGGTCCAAACTTTGAACCGGTGTACTGATCAAACTATTGGGACCATTTTTCCAAGATTGCGGCAACCCCTTATATTTTGGAGATCAAATATCCAAATCTGTTGAAAAAAAGGTTTGCTTATTCAGAGAAAGTAAGTTTTTGTTTCTGAATTCGTAACTTAAAATATCATCTGCACTAATTAAGTAGCATCTTATGTCACCCCTTGAACCAGTGAGTCCTAGAACGTAAAGATTCGATCATTAGATCAAAAATGATTAAAGGTGGTCCGTTTCCTATTTTGCGCACTATACGCAGGAAGGCTGGCTTATTTCAAATTTAAAATCTCGGAAACAAAAGGTGATTAAGGAATGAAACAAACAGTATGTTTATTGTCAAAGCTGAAAAAATTCTATACAAAAACTTAAAAATTTAGTTACAAAAGTTTCCAACAGATAGCGCCGCAAACCACCGTTGACAAGAACAATCAATTCTAATGTTGTTATTGTGCTGGGTTAGGAGATTTAAACTATTTTTCGATTGATTGGTAGTAGAAAATCGCAAGTAAGATTATATGCATTTGTAATCTTTCTAAGAACTTTATACAGCGTACAGCGCCATCAATTGGTAACTTTTGTAATTACATTATAAAATTTCTGCATAAATGTTTAAAGCTTTCACAATGGACTGACTGTTTGATAATGAGATTTATATTTTTCAAATCGATCAATCCTCTGTTGGACACTCTGCGTATTTGCAACAGTGCAGCAAAAGCTTTAACATGCAAATTTAGATAGAATCTTATAAAAAGAATTTTAAAAAACTTTTCTACTCACCTGGTGGTGTGCATTCTTCTTCAAATGGAACAGCCGTGGCTTCACTTATATTAGGTTCTTTAGTTGAAGTTGGTAGAGGACGTGGTACAAGTTGACCCTTGTGTAATTTATGCAATAAATTGGGGTTACCTTTTTGCAATCTTGTTGATGTACCCGGATTAGGCTGTTCGTTTTCAACTTCCTTCTCACCAGGAGACTTATCAACTTCCGTGTTGGACTCAGAATCTTTTCCTGATTTCGTATCCTTTTCGGGAGAATCCGTAGTCTCTTGGTGCTTAGATTTGCTTGAGGGTTTTTCGGTAGTTGTCGATTTCTCTAGATTTGTGTGTTCTGGGAGAATATTGAGAACGTCTTTTCCAGACTTCTCCTTTTCATTAGGGTTGGAATCTGCTTTCTCGGTAGAATCGGTTGGCTCAGCATGTCTCATATCTTCATCTTCATCTAAGTTATCAGTAAATTCGTGGATTGCTACTTCGGGATCTATACTGCCATTTGATGAATAAGTTAAGCCTTCTCCATTTTCATCCAAACGTGCAAATCTTAACAATCTTCTCCGTTTTAAGCTCGTTTCCGCTTCTTTTTGATTTGATCTTTGATCTGTAAATAAGAAAATAATGTTAAATTTGCATGTTCGATGATTATGCTACAAATGTATGAAATACAGGGTTATTCATAATTCCCTCAGCCTGTAAACCCATTTTTCTTTATTACAGCTGGCATCAGTGGTACATGCTACTGCCATCTACCGGTAACTGCTTAAATTAAAACTTGAATACTTTCGGAATAATTTCATATGTTCTCATATGTTATAATGCTTCGAAACGCTGGAGAGAATTATGAATAATCCAGTATAATAAAGGACTTATCATTTCAATATACCAAAATTTCTCATTTGGCGCAGAAATCGGCTAGTATGCCATAAAATTAGAGTTTTTAAATTATTGACTGATGATTCATAAGTAAATGTCAAGAACCGCTTATCTTGTATGAAATATTAAATTGGAACTTTATAAAATTTATTTTTTCTGTTGATAATCGCATTTACTGGCAAATTTTCAAAAGTGCTTTTTTTCTTCATTTTACGAATTAGCTTATAATTTTTAAGAAAAACTATTTATACTAAGATAAAGAGCTTACAATTCGGTAATAATTTGTATGATAACTGTTACCCAAACTATATAGTCTGCAGACTTTTGCTTATCCGCCGTAGATCAGGGTTATTTTATAGATGTGGACAAAAAAAATTTGGTAACTGTGCTGAGACTTAGACAATGTTTATGCAATTCTTACAATACACAGATGGTAGTGATAATCCACATGGAAACTGCAACATATACTATACAGCCTACAGACTCTTGCTCTCAAAGTTCATTGTTATTATTTTGATGTAAACATAAAAACATTTGTAATTGCTTATTTCATTTTTAAAATAAATAGTCTAATTGTATTGATAATCCGTATGAAAACTGTTGTTTATACTGTAACCTGCAAACTTTTGCTCAATAGTTGATAGTCAGTGTTATTATTTTGAAGCGAATAAGAAAATGTATGATAATCTTACACTGACATTTGTGTTTTTTTCCCGCCATACGTACAATAAACTGGTAAATATTTAGTAATAGTAACCTGACATATTTCATTCCGTTGATGATCGTTTCATTTGATGGTCAGTGTTACTGTCTAAAAAAAGATGTTTTTAAACTGTGATGTAACACTGTTGGGATGATATGCATCAGATGCAGTTGTTGAAATTTTCTGTTGAGTAGCATTAAACTGATTTTAATATACATTATTACACTAAATTATAATATCAAAATTGATTTGTTAGCCATAATTTTGATTTTGTTTTTGTACTATTAAAATTCGTTTTTATTCAGTCTGGAAAACAAACAAACATGTTTAAAATATGTTTTTATTTTAAAATAAAATTCAAATGTAGGTATCTAAAATTAAATTAAGATACCAATGTGTCATAGCTTTAAGAAGAGAGATGGTTGCAATATTTTTCAATTCAAATATTGCAACCAGCAATATCTGAATATTGCTGGTTGCAACATTTGAATTGAAAAATATTTGAACATTTATAATTTTTTCTAATAAAGAAACTCTTATGAAGTTTATTAGATTATAACTATTAATTTTTGAAATTTTTTCTTATAAAGAAATTCTTATAAAGAAAAAATTGAATATTTCAAACTTTTCTTTGTAAGAAATTTTAGATAAAATCCGTAGATGGTAATGTGAGAGTGACGAAACACAAAATGACAACAACAAAAAAATAGAAGCCAATTCGATAAATAAAACGTTACTTTGCACGATTTCTTTAAAAGATAAATTATCTATGTATATACATATAAGAATCATTAATCAAAAAAATTCATATATGTATCTGTTTTTTAAAGAAAATTTTAAGGGGGAAATATTTTATGAGCTTATCCTAATAATTCCGTAAAAAGTTAGCTGCCTTGTTTTTCAAAGAAAACACAGTTCCATTTTTCACGTTACTCTTTTAACCTTCCTTCTCTCCCATTAGCGGAAAAAACATCTTTTTCACCTCTTTCTTGGCGCATTCATCATCTTGGCATGTTTTTGTTCTTAGAAAACAATTCATTTTATCCCCTGAGATACGCAAGCAGATATGAGCTTGCGTTGATTTTTTTTTTTGTTCTCCTTTTTCGTTTCAATCAAAGAACTGTGAGAGAAAAAGTTCTTTTCGAGGAAGTTATTGACTGAACAGAAAATGAGTTGGATGATAAAACAAAATATTCGATTTCAGACTTCGCGTTCCAATCAAACGATATCTTTTTATCGTTTTCAGTTATGTTGCTATAACAAAAACCAAAATTGTTTAAAAGAAAAAAGAAAGCCTTTGAAAATACTGGCAAAGGCGAAAAATAATAAATTTAAATATAATGGATTGTTTGTTTAGAAAATTTCATTTGTTTAGAAGAGTGTAACATGCTGAAATACAAAAAATAAATTATTTCCGAAACTAATGAATTTTTGTTTAAAATACTTCTGAAGTGTAAAAAAAACTTCTGAGAAATTACTAACATTTTATATTTATTTATTTTTTATTTTTAAATTCCCAGAAATCATAAAACGAAAACACATATTTGATTTTTCTAGATATTTTTCAAACTATTTATATTCTCCAAATAAACAGAATGTCAAATTAAAAAAATCTAAGTAAAAAAATGAATAGAATTTAAAGGATTTCATTAAATTGAGTCCAAATAAATACTATTAACGCAAGAGTTGTATTTCATTAGAATTTCATGATAAAGTGCTAAGTCATAAAGGTATTCAGGGCTAAAAAAATATACCTTATTGGTGTATAACCATTAGAATTTCATGGTGAAGTGCTAATTCATATAGGTATCCAGGGTAAAGAAAGTAAAATTCTTGTTTCCGATTTGATAGAATTTCCAGTAATATTGCTTCATAAATATTTCTCCTAAAAAGTAAAGTACGAGTAAAAACTATACCCGATCACCTTTCAATATCGTATTCAAAACAAAAATGGATAACCTAGATTGCTTTTAATCTCCATTTTGTTGCAATAATTAATTCTTAGCTTAAGTAAAGAAATTAAAAGTTCACATTTCCTTAACTATTCCTTTTTTATCTTCATTAAAGAATCTTAGTTACAGATTGGGGAATAATAAAGTTCTTTAATTCAGGTCATCGACGTCTATTTTAAGACCTTAACAGCAAAATAATCTCTTCCTTATCATCTTAAAAATGGCTAGAAAAGCCAGACTCTCGCTTTGAAAGCTATTACCTTAGGGATGGTGGTAACGTTAAGCAACCTCTTCCATTTCGAAGTAATTTATCCTTCCATTTGAAGAAGTTTTACATTGTCGCTCTCAATTAACGTGACAGTAACCATGGTAACATGCTATCACACCATCAATAACCTCACAATTGAGTTTGCCTTTGTTCTAGGTTAACTCGTAAGGTGATAAGATTTTCTGCTGTCGAAATACAGTCACTGAAATTAAAGTGATCTGCTTCGAAACTAATTGGAATCAATTTAAAAATGAAATTATTTCAAGTCTTTAAAGTTTTATTTGCTTGATTCGCTAAGAAAATCTTAATATATCAGGAATAAAATGATTCACCCTTTATGACACTGGCGTCCCTTTTACATATTTTTTTTTTGATTCTCTAATTACAAGTAGAAATATATTTTGGCTTTTTTAATTGTAAAAAATAGTTTAATAGTTATTTAAAAATCTGCAATGTTATAGGAATTATATTTCTAATGAAATATAAAAACCAAAAACAAAGTAGTTTAAATTTTTTTCTTTTTCTTCCATATTCAAAAATTTATCAATTTATGATTTTGCAAATCAAACTAATTTCAAATATGAATGACTGTTTCTCTTAAATTTAAATAACTGCAAATAAGTGCAGATTTGAAAAGTTATTATTTGGAAGTGGACCGTGTTTGAAAAATTTTACCTTTAACTCGAAAAAAAGAAAACCATATCTAATCATGAAAATCATGCTCTATTCCATAACCATAAATTATTAAAAGGCTAAAAATATATTTTTTTTGCTTATTTTGAACAAACAAAAACAAGAAATATGTACAAAACACTGAAAATTCTGTTTCAAAGGGTTATAAACTAAATGAAATTCAATTATTACTTTTTTTTGCAATTTCTAGCAAAAGCTTCCTGGTGAACAAAAAGAGGAATACTTCATTTCTGTTCTTCTAGCAACGGAAATAACTTATCAGTCAATGATCAAATTTTCGATTGCTCATTGGGATGGCAGTATCTCCACAATTAAATTTAATTATTCCTTCCAATATAAACAGCGTGAGTTCAGAGATATAATTGTTTATTTTACATTCTTGAAAAATTTCTATCGCTTTAACGACGTTTTTGGCAAATATATGTATCATTAAAATTAACATAGAACTATATAAACTTGCGTGGTTCGCAGTAGAACATCGAAGTCAAGTGTCAGCTCCTGTGGTCAGTAACCAGATGGGTAACTACTTTGATCAATCTGCGTAGGGACCGAGGGTTCTCGTTACTATTCCATCGTAAAGTGCTCGATTTCGCGAGCAGATCACCGGGCTACCAAAGTGGAGGAGCCATCCCCTCTGCAGAGGATCGAAATTCTGATGGCAGGTCCTTAGATCATTCTCGGGTATGTTTTCCTGACCATCGTCAATAGCTCATTGTGAAGTTCTAGTGCGACGTAAATAAAATAACGACCTACATAAACTCACTAAAAAAACTAAACTCAGTGGCATAACAGCCCAGAGAGGGTCAAGGCCTAAAGTGCCCATCTCAGTTTTCTTGGCCTTGGGCTCTGGGGTGTAGGAGCAGACGTTCCGGTTAAGTGGTCAGCCGAACGCGAAATCCCCAGTGTTTAATCAACACCTACTAGAAGGTGGTTATGGAAGGTGGTTCTATAGATGGTTATGGTTTAGTTCCCAAGCATGCTTGTTAATCATTTATCTACCTACTGAAGGGATGAAAGGTTGGGTCAACCTTGCCCGGCCAGAGGATCGAATCCAGGATCTGTGGCACGTGAGCGCGAAGCGTCACCACTTAGCCACCGAACGTCACATAAAC